AGACATAATTTGTTTAGTGTAGGCTTTATCATAAATTAGTCTGTCTGGCTGTCAGAAAGACATATTCAATTATGAGTTTGAAATTAAAATAAAAAAGGAAAAAATCCCTTCAGCCGCTTGTTTATAATAAGCAAGTAAACAGCAAATAGAATTAAGTATTATAAGAGATTTTAAAAATACGATTTGTGTTCTTAATTATTCAATTGTGAAGTGTTTTCTAAATAGAATCATTTTTCTTATTTATATTTTCAGACATAACAAGTTTGTGAATTTAATCTATATATTAATGCAAGATGGGCTTGGGTTTTGAAACTGCCACCGAGAAAAATGGCTCCAATGCCGTACAGAGAACTACAAAGTAATAACCAACATCTGGCTTCAAAAACACACTTGTGGGTACGAAAAAGCACAGGAGGGGGGCACAAAGAACGAAACTGACTACATAAAAATAAACAAAAATATACAGAAATGCAGTTTATGTTATAAAACATATACTAGCGCCAACTTCCAGATACGCACAAAAGAAATCCGACCAAAAAATATGTAAATAAACAAATCAAAAGCAAATGTAACTCAACAGGCTACGAAGGGAATCAATTTTTAAAACAAAATATTTATGGTGATGAAGTTAAAAGCAAATACGTGAGCTTAGTGGTGGTGGGGGGTAGAGATTGAAAGTGGAACACAATAAGAGAAACTCACGTAACACTGGTGAACAAAATTGCACCTAAAGAGAGACAAAGAAGTGGATGACATGAAATTCTTAAACTGATAAAAAGAGACAGCAAACAATGTCAAGGAAAGGCACAGTACATTGGATGTTAAAATGAAACATTAGAAACAAATGCAAGCAGGTAAAAGATAAATGGGCCAAGAAGAATTAAGCAGAGATAGAAACATTGTCAAACATACAAATAGCAGGCATGTATAAAGCGATAAAAAACAATCCCACAGAAGTCCTGCCCCTCCATAGGATGCATAAAATCTAAGAAGGGCAAGCTAATAATAAAAATGAAGACTTATTTTCGCGCTGAAAAGAATACATAGAAGAGCTCTGACATAATGGCAGAGAGAAGCCCATAATGCATTAAAAACATGAATATTAAAATATAACGTAAGATCGGCACTGAGCAAGATTAACAGAAACAAGACTGTTAGACGAGCTAGTATTGTAATAGAAATGCTGTTAATCTGAGAGGATTTCAGGATTTAAAAAATGATCCGTAATCCATTTTTTTCAAACAAAGGATTAAGGAAATCATAAAAAGCATAGAACACGCTTTTGGTCTTATTTTTCCATTCGTCTTCATTTCGTTTCCACCGCTTTTTTTTCCTTTTTTGCGTTTTCCTCTTTAAAATTTCCCTTCCGCATCCATATCTCTATCTATAAAAGGCAGAATGTGTCTGTGTGTGTGTATAACGAATGCACGGCCGCAATTTTCGACGGATTTGCACCAAAATTTACATGCACATGCTCTAAGTTAGCGGGAAGGCCAAGACCGACTTTGCATTTCCTAACTCCCATCGATAGTGGAAATAATCGATTTTTTCATGCTTCTACGGCAGTTTTCATGTAGTTTGCGGCCATTTTGTAATGGCCAGCGTGAGGGCCAACAGCTGACTGACACGATTGTTACCTAGCATGCAAGCATGCAAAAAAAAAAAAAAAAAATAACCGATAGCTGCATTCGTCACAAGTGGGAAAAATTTAACTCTGCATTGGTACTTTACTTCAATTGGCTCATTCGGTTGCTTAAACTCAACGTTGATTCTGATTCCGCAGAACTGGGTTGGGTGTGAAAAATTATTTGTTGTTAACATTGATGTTCATTAGTTTTTTACAGTTACGAGTCTTTTTCTAAAGCTGATCGTTTTGTTTTCATTTTGTCTAGTTCTTTTTTCGTAACAGATTTAATGTTTAGTATGGGGCTTAGAAAAGATTCGCAGTGTGCAATAGGCAAGAAGTAAGGCATGCAGCAACATCAGCACGGCAAAGGGCACTCCTTTAAAGGCAAGGAAGGGCAAACATATTTTAAGTCAAGTGATAGCAATTGCTGTATGAGTCGTACGATTTTTGAATCAAGCGCGGGCAACGCCGGGTCATGCTGCTAGTTTCCTTTATTTTCCAAAATCTGCTCATGTGTGAAAACAAACAGTTAGTCGGTTCATGGCATGTATATATTATATATTTGTATATACTATATTATTTATATAATTACATTGGTTTTTGCCAAAAGTTGAAAAGGCAAGTGGCGAAAGGCTGGTCAAGATTGTTTATCCGACATTTATCTAATCCAACTCGGGACCCATTGACTCCAACAATTGATACATTCAGCACAAGAACACATCCATCACCATTCAATTCCAACATGTATCAAAATACTACAATTTCGCAGACGACCTAATAGAACACCAATGGCTGTTGGTTCCTAGGAACTGAGTTGCTTGACACTCGTAAGTCGAAAACGAGGGGAGAATCCATTGCGTGTGTGTATGTATATATATATATATATATATATATATATAGCCTGCGGCAGAAATACCTCCCACATATTGGCAAGTCATTATATTTTACAAATATACATATGTACATGGCACAAGGCCGAAGGTGAAAAGGGAAGAGGCTGGTATACACTGTCTATCCTGCACCTATTACATCCGATTCGCGACACCATTCTCTCTAACAATTGACGCAAACATAATGATAAGACATTAGTTAGATGAAGACAACATTGCCACAAATGCGTTACTATTGTGGGGGAGGAATTTCTGCCACATTCTGTGTAGATAGAGGGGATTATATGTCCCTAATTTTGACGACAATATTTCCATCGATGGAAATATTGTCGTCAAAATTAGGGACATCTCATTTTAACATATATATTTACCAAAAGTTTATACAAATATCATGAGCAAATTTGTTCAATGAAATAGCCTAAAGAGCAAATTTGTCAATGAAATAGCCATTGGCTTCAACTACAACCTCCAAACGAATACGAAATCTCCTGCAACTCTTCTGGACCGTCTCGTTGGTGAATGTTGCCATACTTGCCTTTAGTTCATCTTTGGTGTAACAAAGAGTTTTGTCGATCTCTAACTCACATAATAATCAACTGGGTTGCAGTTTGGGGTATTAGGTGGCCAGATATTGCGTATAATTTTGATTTATGGAGGCTTCGCTATGCCTAATCCTAACTAGCACGTTATATTTTACTAGTGCTGCAGCGTCATTAATATGAACATCACGACCCTATATGAGGTGTCTTATCAAATTTGGTAATTCAGAGAAGTGACCTGCTTGATATATTCTGTCTTGAATGTGGCCGTGAATTGAACTAGAGTCGCTTGTCGGTTACCGCTGAATGTCCCTTGTCGAAATCATTAAGGATTCATTTCTCTGTCTATGGTGTGCAGTAATGACTTCTATCAGGTATTATTTGAAAACGTAGTACCTTAAATCGAGGGATGTTAAATATTGCCTCACTATATGGTCCACGGCTCAGTAGCAAGAAACCCAAGGCCCAGTAGCAAATGGACCACAGTCAGGTACAAAATGCTCAATGACTCGTTAGAAAAGATCCACGGCCCGGTAGCACATGGTCAACTGTCATGTACCAAACGATGTAATGTCCGGTAGTATATGATTCACGTCCCTGTAGCAAAGTCCGGTAGCACATAGAAAATGCTCAACAGAACAGTAAGAAATGGTCGGCGGCCAGATAGAAGATGGTCAATAAATCTGTACTAAAGCAAATTTCCAAAGGGCAGGTAGCAAATAGTCCACGGTCCCGTACAAAATGGCCAACGGCCCGGTAGTATATGGTCTAGTCACTGTATCAAAAGACCCAAGGCCCAGAAGCATATAATCCATGTTTTGGTACAAAATGGTCAACAACCCGGAAGCAAATTGTTCAGTGCCCGGTATCCCATTGTCAATGACAACTATATCAAACAATTCAAACCCCGGTAAGAAATGGCGCAATCATGGTCTAAGGCCCAGTGGCAGATGGTCTACAGTCTGGTACAAAATATGTCAACAGCCCTGTAGCAAATCGTATGAAGCCCACAGCAATGTAGCAACTGACTCAATGCCCAGTATTACATGGTTTACGGCCCGGTAGCTCGTGGTGAACGTCACCTGTACTAAAGCGCTCAAAGCACGGTTGTATATGGTCCATGGCCCTGTAGGTCGAGGGCTTGATCGTGCTGGCCTTGTTCAAATTGTTGGTTACACTAGATAACACGCTCTTTCCCAGAAACTGTAACTAAGGTTTGCTCAGCATAGTTGCAGTATAAACCACAGGTGGGCTCTGTGAGTGTTGAATAAACAGAAATGTGCCTGAGCAATCGTCTGCAACAAGGATTGGCTAGCCTTGCTAGTAGACGGGTAACTTCGAATACGAGTGGCCAGCTATACATGGCCCTGTACCAAATACTCCAAGGCCTAGTAGCAAATGCTCCACGGCCCAGTAGCATATGTTCAACGACCCTGTACCAAACGATGCAATAGACGATAGTATATCACAACGCTTACACTCATTAAATATCAAATAAAACAAAGTCACGACCAATACCTTTACATGATGCTACCACGTGACATTTGGTGGTAAAATGCAGAATGCGGGTAACCTTCGTGCGCATAAAAAAGCAATTAAAATGCGTGGATTTTGTTGATTTTAATATCCATTCTATTTCCTTGTTAAACCTCATATTTTTTGTTTGTTAAAACATAATTATTGAAGGACATCAATTAAGAATTGCCCAGAAGAATAGTTAGAAAAAAAAGGTATTAAATAAATCTGTAAAAAGTTATGAACGATAATTTTGGCAAACTTAGTTTCTGCCTAATATTTTATTAAATATGTAATTAGTATATTCGAAACAAACAATATTCTACTTTTAGTTTTCTGGTTCTGGGAATAATTCTACATAGGGTAAATTAAATTTTAAATCGATTTAATTTCTTTGCGTAACATAAAACCGTAAACATAAAGTATGCACGGCCATATCACATTAAGACACCGGTTCTCGTACGATCGCTGAAGTTAAGCAATGTCAATAGTAGTCAGTACCGAGATGGGTGACCAATTGGGATTATTAGGGTGCTGTAAGCTTCGAAGTGCGTATAGTGTAAAAAGATAATGACTTGAAATTGGAAATCAGAGTTATTCAACTCCCAGTTACGGGCAAATACAGGGTGATCACAAAAAAAAAAGACCCTACCAATATTTTGTATAAAATTGATAACACTTTGAGCCCTGTGTTCCTGAATATATATATAAAATGTTCACTTATATATATAAGTGAATATGTTCGCATTATATATATATATATAATGTTCACTTATATATATAAGTGAATATGTTCGCATTATATATATATATATATATATATATATATAATGTTCACTTATATAAGTGAATATGTTCGCATTATATATATATATATATATATAAATGAATATTGAAGTCAACACTCAGGCCTGACGATTGCGACTAGCATGAAACAACCTGTCGCCTCTGAGTGTTGGCTTCAATGTTCACTTTTATATCTTATATACATACGCTCTATCTCTGACTCTGATATTGACCACTTAATCCAATAAATATAGCACACCTTAAAACTATATTTCTTCATATATATATATATATATATATATATATATATATATATATATATATATATATATGTGTGTGTGTGTGTGTGTGTGTGTGCGTGGAATTCGATCTCGTCTCTCCGTGTCTCCTTCATTCATTATATTCACTTACGTGCTAATACCCTTGGGAAAGGTATTAAACTTCTTCTCCCTCCAGCTGGTCTAGGAGAATGCCAAGTCTAAATCCCAAACCTGTGGAGGGTCGTTTGGGGAACTTGTGGCACGTCTGGTTGGTACTTCATAAGGGCTTCACCACCATAATCAAATCATATGTGCTAGTGTCTGGCTGTCGGTTTCTAGGAACTGAGCTGCTTGACCCTCATAAGTCGAATACGATGGGAGAGTCCACCATCTATCTCTCTCTCTCTCTCTCTCTCTCTCTCTCTCTATCTATATCTCTATATATATATATATATATATATATATATAGATATATATATATATACATATATAGATAGATAGATAGATAGATAGATAGACAGATATAGTAGATGCAATAGATAGATAGATAGATAGATAGATAGATAGATAGGTAAAAATAGAAAGAAGGAATTAAATAGTGAGTGTACTGAAATATATTGATCGATATATAGATAGAAATTGTGACTAAACTGAGATAGATAGATAAAGTGAATGGGGTGAGACAGACAGATAGATAGATAGATAGATAGATAGATAGATAGATAGATAGAATGGGATGAGACAGATAGATTGATAGATAGAATGGGATGAGATAGATAGATAGATAGATAGATAGATAGATAGATAGATAGATAGATAGATAGATAATTTACTGCGGTCGTTAGATATATTTATCTTATATAGCAAATATTTACTGGAGTAATGAATACTGATCACGCAGATCTAGCATTATACAGTGGACATTTAAGATCAAAATTCAGCTAATAGCACTCATGCTGCGGCTAAAAGTTTTATAAATAAATAGACGAATCACATAGTCAAGTAGCGCGAAACAATGAAAAGAAATTCTCCTTTAAAGTTTTCTTTATGTTTTAATGAAAACTATCGGGAGAATGAATTATGGCGTATTTCTCTCTTTTGAAATGTCTTTTTCATTCCTCGTTATTTTCTATCGTAAGTGATCTCCCAAGTCTCGCCTTCTTGTTCGCATTACTTGGAGCAATGGTCGTAACAACAGCTTGGCCGATGTCATTTTCATAATCGTTTTAATTTGTGCCCGGCGGCAAATTCAGCTTTATGTCATTCGCCTCTTACTCTTTGCCATCAGAAAATGATGTGAACAAATTGGAACGAGACAATATGAAATAACGCGCTAAGTCTTCCCTCGGGACAGAATGGCACTTGAGACGCGTTCCGATAATGATCTGCTATACACAATTGCACTTATGCTTCTCTCTCTCTCTCTTTCTCTCTCTCTCTCTCTTCTCTCTCTCTTTCTCTTCATTTAAAATTATACCTTTTGTTCTGTGTTTCTATCTTTATTTTACATAACATTTCCTTTCTTTCTTTCTTTCTTTCTTTTTTTCTGGCATGGATTTTCTTACATTATTTACATTGTTCAGATTGTTGTTCTCATTTTTGTTGTCATATTCACGACGTTTCAGCCGTTGTACGCCCTGGCCTTCTTCAGGTGATTGGAATTTCGAATCGAACCCTTTATTTCGTCCACCGGGGTGGATTACTCTAGTTCCACGTGCCGTACCTCTTCCGGATATCTAAGTTTCAGTTATCTCCCTTTAACTCAACTTTCTCCAAATATTTTGTTCATCTCTGCTCTGGCCAGGTATTGAACTCACAGCACTTTGTGTCATGTCACTGGATTCCCTCAACCAATGTTGAAGAAGTCCGGAGCGTAAAACGGCCGAAACATCCTGAATATGACAACAAAGATCAGGACAACAGAAATAGAGATGGATAGATTTTCTTAATTTTTCTTTTCTTTTTTTTTTCACTTAATTGTTCTACGTCAATTCATGGATTCTCTACCTTCCATTATTTCGCCTCTTTAGACTTATATTAATAAAATTCTTAGAACATAGCACATTAAAACAACGGTTCTCGTAGGATCAGCGAAGTTAAGCAACATCGAGTCTGGTCAGTACCAAGATGGGTAACCGCAAGGGGATACCATGTATTGTACCGTCCCGGATATGACGATAAACTACATACGACAAGGAGGTTTTTAGGAGCGTGGAACCACCATTTAATTACTGATGTTCCAGGTCTACTCTGCTCCCGGGTGGCAGCACCTGTTAGGGTCCCAGCTATGGACAAATAGTTAACCCCCAAACTGTGGTGAAAATACTATGAAAGTGTAAAAATAGCTTTGAATACCAGATATACTTTGTAAAAATTATTACCAGCAATAAATTTTTGAAGGAAGATTTATTACCTGCAATACTTTAAAAAAATTATTATCAGCAATACTTAAAAAAATATTACCAGCTATATATTTTTGAAAAAAAAATTAAAAATATTACCAGCTATACATCTTTGAAAAAAATTACCAGAAATAGATTTTTGAAGAAAAAACATTACCAAATATAGATTGTTGAAGAAAAAAAAATATTACCAGCAATACATTTTGGGAAAAAAATATTATCAGCGATAAAGATTCTGTCCGCATTAAATAACCCATTGAGGTTGATATGCCGTAGACCAGACCAGACCAGACCAGACCAGACCAGACCAGACCAGAACCGGGTATTGGACGCTTGAATAGGCGGGTGGTGTAATGGATAACGGCTCGAAATTGGAAGTTTGAGTGCCGAGTTCCAGATCAAATCGGGCTCGGTGTCTTCACTTATACACACGTACCCATGGGCTAGGTATGATAGCAACCTCTTCTTAATTAATAGGGCGTGTATCAGTAATTAATTATTATCTCCATAAAATTATGGCAGTCTATATAGTTTCTGTCTTTAAATAACCTTTAAAAGGCTGTTAAGCCGTAAAAAAAACAAATATCTCAGTCAACTTTATTCATTTGTTTTATATTTTTTTAACGTGACTCATATCGTTTTCCTTTGTTTGATTTTTATATCCGTTCATATCAATATCCACGCTTTTCTGTCTTTGTTTTTTTTCTTTTTTCCGCTTTCATACCTTTTCAGTTCTTTTTTTTATTTTTCGTGTCCCTTTCTTTCTTTCTTTCTTTCTTTCTTTCTTTCTTTCTTTCTTTCTTTCTTTCTTTCTTTCTTTCTTTCCTTCCTTCTTTCTTTCTTTCTTATTCTTTTTGTCTTTTCTTAATTTATTAATTCCTTTCCTCTTTCTTTCCTTTCTGTTTTGTATTTGGTTTTCGCTGTTATTCTTTCTTGCTTGTTCGTTTTGGCATGCTTTACATTCTTCGTACTTACTTTCTTTGTTAATTTGATGTTTTTTCTTTACTTCTCGCGTATCTTTTTTGTTATTTTCGCTCCTTTCTTTCTTTATTGAGTGTTTTCTGTTTGTTTTTCTGACTTTCATTAGTTAATTTATCATTTCTATCTTTCCTCTTTACTTTTATTTTTTCTTTAGCGGTCCTTTTAATTCTTTCTTTTATCTATATAGGGTTCTTTCTTTAGCTTTGCACTCACAATAATTTTCATCTGATATTTACTTTGTTTCTTTCACAAAAATACTTCCTTGTTTGTTTTACCTTCCTGTCTTATTTATTTGATGTTTTCTTAAAATATGTCTTTCTTTTTATTGGCTTTCGGTAGGAATCGACGTAAATTAAAAAAATCAGCGCTTCGAACAAATGCAATAAGCAAGTGTAGGAGGAAAAGCAAATGCAGAGTGACAGTGACATTAGCAAAAGACGAACTATTAATTCAGTAGAAAGGGAGAGAAATAAAAAGCCATTTCATAAAATGCATGTGCAATAACGTGATCAAGAAAAGGAACAAGAAGTTATTGCTGAAAAACAAAAATCAAATATTGTATGGAAACCTTTGGGCAAAATGCAATAACAAATACGCATTTTCCTTCTGACGCCTCGTTATGAACGCATCAGGTCAAATATACATCAACGCAAACGCTAAAAGTAAAAGTGCAAATAGGAGAGAGAAAATGGCGGCAACCGAAAAAAAGTCTCAGAGAATTCTAATGGTGATCTTAACCGTTTCCTTATAAGGAAACATTTGACATTTATTCACTGAATAGTTATAATTACTGTCAGTAGAAATTTATAAAATCTTTGTCTTAAAACAGGATTTTTTTTTATCGCTACTTTAATATTGATCGAAGCCAATATCTTGATTATGTCATTATTTTCTCTTTGAGCTGCATGAGCTATTTATTTTAGTTGATGCTGTTGCTTTAAGTCCTCAAACAATTTAGTTTCTGTCATTTGATAAAAAAAAATTGTTTGAGAACCTGTAGCGCCTGTGTACGTGATCATCAGGACAGTACTAGTCAAAGGTCACAATTTCAATCATTCAAATCTATTTGTATTCATTGGTGTAAGAAAACAGCTGCTACAGCTAATGATTTGATATTTCTGAACGATTTAGACGCTATGTATGACATCCGCATGAGAGTGTCGGGATAACTACACTTAAAAATAAAATGACTCTATTTTGTCGCGATTTGTGGTGTTGGGGGAAAATACGTCTAGCGCAGCCTCTTCCAGGTTCAGTTTCCTTATCTCCTATACTAAATTTGTTATAACTGATCCATACACAGCAAAAAAATATTTTAATCATTTCACCCCATACGAGATAAAAATCCCAATGAGCTACTGGGGTGGGTCGAAGAGGATGAGAAAATTATAATAAAAGAACAAATTCAGGCAGAGAGAAGATTGTGATTGACATTGCATTGAAATTTTAAAAGAATTTGAAGTATTTTTTATTTATCAATGAAGAACGGTATAAAGAAAAAATATATATACCTGAATATATGAGAATTCGATTAAACGCAAAAAAGGCCTTTAATATATTACCTGAATTCCATAAATATCAGATAGTTTCAAATGTCTTCAGCGGTCTATTGAAAAAAAAAAAAAAAAAAAAGAACCCCATTTGTTTTTATAATTAAAAAGGAAACAAGGAATAAACCCACTTTGCGACTACCATTTTTCTGAGCAGACCTTCTAATCGTAAGGAATAAACGAATCCAGGTTTAACAATTAGTAAAGATAAAGACATCGGTTCAAAGGCTCGGGAAGGAGGGTGAACCGGACGTTACCAGAACCTATGTACGTCTATTCAGAAAATGAAAAAAAATGTAAATAAATTGTAAATAAAATTTCAGAATATTAGGCGGAGTCGTTAGAAGTATAGAGTTGAAGTAGAGTTTAGAATGACCCATATGCTCAATTCAAAACAGGAAACAAGGGATAAACCTCTACTCCTGTTCAAAGGACCGGGAAAGTGCGTGAACCAGGCGATAGGCAAACCTTATCTTATTGAGGAAAGAAAAAAATGAAAATAAAATTTCAGGGTTTGAGGCGGAGACGCTAGAAGTATACAGTTGAAGTAGACTTTAGAATGACCCGGATATGCAGTCCTTACCAGGAGACAATAAAACTGGTCTTTATAGCAATACTGGGCAAACCTCACAGGAGGGCAAATCTGAATTCAAAACCGTATTTAGGCCTGGCAGGTCACATAATAGAACTATAACTAAAGTCCTCTCAGCAAAGTTACAATATAAATCACGAGTTGGCTTTATGGCTTTTGAACAAACAGAAATTGGCTTGTGTATATCGGTATGAACGGAAACAAGGAACCTACCTGAAGATGAGAAATCACGCCGATTTACAGTGTGTTTTCAAGTCAAAAATCACTTCTGATGATTTTGTTATTACTTTTTTCAAGAGTTATTTTTAGAACGAATATCTTACGGCTGTTAAATTAAAAAAGTGCAGGAAGAAAATTATTGTCATTGTAATGAAAATACTACATTCATGTAATGTAAGAAGGTTGAATGCCACATGACTCTCAGATGTTTGACGAAATTGTAGACATTTATCAACCTGCTCGGCCATCAAATCATCTGGCGTTCTTTGTATCTTGCTGAATATTTCACTAATCTGTCGATGTTACTCCTCATAAAAGCCAACCATAAAAAAAGAGATAAGAAATAAGTATCCTAGAGTTATGCAAAGAAAGAAAATAAAAATCTTTATAAACATCACTTGCAGTAAAGTACTATCTGCCTTAAATCGGCATTTTTCTTCTTGAATTGAGGAAACTGAAGGTCAGAAATCGGTAACTTGGTTCTACCATTACAATTGATGTGTTTACCTGTTCGTTTTATTTTTGTTATTTTCGCTTAAGACAAATAACAAATGCCTTGTCTAACTAACTGTGTCTTTTTGGACAGTCTGTTTTTTTTTTACATCTATAGATAGCCAAACAGGTCTCAGATACAGCCAATGTATAATTACAAAGGCGGTGTTACAATCGCAAATATTTTTCTCATATTCTTTCTTCACAGAGTCGTATTCCCGACTTTTTCGTTTTCTCGAAAAGTAAATTTATGGAAATATTCATCCCGAAAGAAAGTATCTTCTTCTATCGGCTGATGACTTTAAAGATTTGTGATCTCGTAAGATTCAGATATGAGCCAAAAAAAAGAAATTATATTTGTTTTAATTTTAGAAACCTCAGTAAGCAGCTTGAAAGATGATGCTGTAGAAACAAAGAGAAAACTCCTGAACTGTTATGGAATATCACTTTTCCTATATGAAAATGCAGAACTGAGATGAAGAAGAGACTTGAAGCAACAAAAATATGGTTTTACAGAAGGATGCTGAGATTTCTATGGATTAAATATGTGAGCAATGGCGAGGTTTTAGAGAAAATGGTAACAAAAAGGCCACTTATTCTTAACATCAGAAAGAGACGGTTGAATTTTTTAGGGTGCATAAAGAGGAAAGAGTATTTGGAAAATTTGATACTTACAGGACTGATTGAAGGCAAGCGGGACAGAGAAAAACAAGGCATAAAGTAACTGAATAAATGAATGGCGCAATAAAACTTAGAAGAGATAACAAAAAGATAATATTTTTAAGAGCTGCAAAAGACAGGAAATTGTGGAGAGCCATGATGGAAAGCGTCTTGAAGGGACACAACACATAAAATGAAATGTCCCACGATGGATAATGTTTCTTTCAATTTAATCAATAAACGTTATTAAGTTTAGCCAAGCGTGGTAGAAAAGCAAAATGGATCGATATATTTTGCTTTGCTAAGAAAATTAGTTTGAATTTTTCCCAGGTTCGAACACCGACACATTCCATCGCTGTTAATTATTTGTATTTATTGGTTGCTTCTATATTTCTTGTATTCTTTTAATACATTTAGACTATTTAGACAATATATAAAATCTCCTCAGTTTGTTAGTATGACGAGTCTCAGAGATAATGACAGAAGACGCTGCACCGTCGCAGGATTGTTTGATCGATTTGATTTTTACGGTTTATCAACCTTTTTCAAGTTATTTAAAGTCTGAATATATTTCTGAATTGTAAGACTCGTTAGAGATAATAATGATTTTCCGATAGAAGTTCTATCCATAACTAGAGGAGAAAATATGGATTATAACTTTCCCAATGGTATTGGCGCGGAAGTGCCCGACTGGGATTCAAACTTAGATCTCTGATTTGTCATTACGAACCGTTATCTTTTACATGACCCTCACATACTAGCTTTCTGTACCTGTTATTCTCAAGCAGTCACCCATCTAAGTACTGAGCAGGCTTGACGTTGCTTAACTTCGATGATCGTACGGGAACTGGTCTTTCAACGTGATGTAGCCGTAAGCGATATTGTCCGTATATAAAAGCTTACAGCACCTGGCATTCCCATGCGGTCACCCATCTAGGTACTGATCAGGTTCGACGTTGCTTAACTTCGATGATCGTACGGGAACTGGTCTTTCAACGTGATGTAGCCGTAAGCGATATTGTCCGTATATAAATCACAAAAGCATTTGCGGTCACCCACCTGGCATTCCCATGCGGTCAACCCATCTAGGTAAACTGAACAGGCTACGATCAGGTTCGACGCTTCGATGAAGGAAGATGATGAGCCGTAAGCACAGCTGAAACGAATGATTAAAAAAGCTATTGGACAAAACAAAAGTTAATCGAAAAGGTACGATCAATCAGTACGGGAAACCAAATTAGTGAATTCCGTTAGAAAAAGATCAGGTTTCGACGTTGCTTAACTTCGATGAAAACTGGTCTTTCAACCTGCGATATTGGCACCTGGCATTTTCCATGCGGTCACCATCTAGTACTGAAGGTTCGACGTTTTAATTCGATGATTCGCCCAACAACAAGATATTGTCCGTATATAAAAAGCACCTGGCACTACGGTCACCCATCTAAAACTGATCAGGTTCGACGTTGAGTGTTAAAACGTGATGAGAACAATTGTCTACTATTAAGGAGGAATGCGGTATCAATGAAAAGAACAGATGTCTTTTAATGTAGCCGTAAGATAGTATATAAAGATAGTCAATTGTTCATTGCGAATTTAAAAAATTTTGGACAAAACAAAGTTAAATGAAAACACAAAGTGAATTCGTTAGAAAAAACACTGAAAACCCTGGGCATGATTCTCTAGGAATTCTTTAATTATTTCGCGAGAAGCAATGCCACTAAGACGCAAAAATACTAGTTAAAGAATATAATTTACGGTAGAATAAAGAACAGATGTTAAGAAGATAGAAGATAACTCATTGTATTTAAATTTTTAATCTCTAAAATGACGAGAAAAAATGCTAGCATATAATTTGTTCCAATCTAGTACCTTGTTCAATAAAAAAGCCTTGCCGGCAATCTAGTACTATAAAATCTAAGTACAATAGCAGAAAATTCATCGGAACAATTGCCATGAAATTATTTATAGAAAAGGTCAGAAAAGCTACGTTACTGCTGTGGTAAAGGGACTGAAGCTGAGATTCCAGGCTAGGACCAATAACATGGCAGATTCGTCTTTGGGTTTCATCAAGGGTCTATAAATATATTGCAGGAGTACCAGACTAGATGTAGCAGCAATATTCAAAACAAGGAAGAATTGTAGACTTATAATATGTCTGATAGATTCTGCCGTGAACAATTGTCTAGCACAGTATAGTGAACTGACTTTCTTAGTTGTAGACCTGGTAATTGATCCAATAAAATCTTTCCACTTCATGTCACCTGAAAACGGTAGTCTGAGAAAGTACAATGAGTTAGTTTCCTCGAGGTTAGCATAAACCATAATAATGGAAGGTAAAATTATTCTCTCAGATTTTTTGAGAGAGCAATTTTTTTGGAGGCGTTAAAATTAACAAGGCACTCCTTGCCCCAGTTAACAACAGATTAACATATAGTGGGTTATATGATGGCAGTTCAGTAATCTTTTCTTTGTTTCTATCGAAATGTTCCTGTCTCTTAATACTTTCTTTCGTTCTTGTAAAACCTTTTTCACTATTCATTCAGATTTCTGAGTTGCACATGCCTTTGTTGGTACAATAATCTGGTAAAACATTTTTCAAAGAAAGTATATACGCCGACTTTGGAATAACATTTGGAGAGCAGAACAAAAACTTGGCCCCTTGTCTGTTCTAATTTTACCAAGGAACGAAGAAAATGGACAAAAAGTGAAAATAAAGCTGTTATTGTTGCAATTCCATTGATATGAAAGGAACTGAAACAAGTCATAGCAACGTCTATAAAGTTCGTATAGCGCCCATAGTTCTGGTGAACAACAAGTAAGAAAACACTTAGGTAGCGGCTCGGATTGAAGAATCGGAGAGCCGTGTTCGACTGTCAGTCAGATCTATTACATCCACTTACGTGCTAATACCCTTGAGAAGTATGAATCCTCTTCTTCTCCCCCTACACGCTATAGGTAAATAGCAGGACAGACTGAGTTCTATAGCCTTTGGTGGCAGCTGACTTAGGTGAAGGAAAACACTCTGAATTCAAAAATAGCTTGAAGAGGTTTGTGCTCCGTCAGGTTATCTTGGCTAAGAAACTTCACTACTGCTTCTACTGTACATGTGGTGCCCCTACGAGCCTACGGCCATGGGATAAAAAAAAGGGAAAAGACTCGAACAAAAGGTTGAGTGAAGTTTTAATCATATGAAAGACATGGATTAATAATACTGTAATAGAGAATACCGGAGCAGTGCAGCAATGCGTACGACTCAAACGCCTCGTCTTGCGATCCACTTTCCGACTGCCGTTCCTCTAAGCAGAGCTTCTAATCGTAGCGGATAAACGGGTCCCTGTTCAACAATTAGTAAAGATAAAATCAGGTTGTCTTCTACGCAACAGTCACGATTACTATTTTCTTATTGAAAAATTCAAGGATACAAGAAAAAGAAGCAGAAAGAAATCATTAAGACCCTTGCCAATAAGAAATAAGACTCCGCCCACACGAATTTCATCTTCCAATCCCGACCCCTCATGTTCCTTCTAAATGTATTTTTATTATGTTCACAAGGGGGGGGATCATTAACTGTTCTTAGGTGTCAAATAAAGGTGGGGAAATTTATTTATTTTTTGGAAGAAATTTTCCGACCCACTGAGTGTAGTAAGATCACTCCGTTTATTAATTTTTTTTTTTTTTATTATTCAATTTCACCGCCATTAAGATAAAGATCTCATGCTTTTACAATTTAAATTTTTAGATGCAACCGTAAGTTATATGATAACAGTTTCTTCTCTCGCACTTCTGACTTATGAAACTCTCTTCGGGCTTCTTACTTTCCAGCCAACTTTGATTTTCAAATATTTAAATACAATATCAATCGTTATCTTTTGACTTTTTTTTTATTCCTGTTCTTTTACTCTTCTGTCTCCTTAATCATTTTTCTTTCTTCATATTATCTCACGCTCAGTAACCCTTTGTGTCTTAGTGGCTGTATTGCCTTGTTTGCGGGTAAAATGATGAAAAAAGACCCAAGGGGTTACTCAGTGTGAAAAAAGGGGTTACTGATTGTGAGAGAATATGAGAAAAAGGAAAAAAATATTAAGGAGAGAAAACAATGAAAAAAAAAGAATTAAGAAGACAGAAGATAACGATTGGATTTAAATTTTCGAACATCCAATGTGACTAGAAATTAAGAAGCTGCAAGATAGTTCCACAAACGAGAAGTGCGAGAAAGAATCTGTTAGCATAGAGCTTACGGTTACATTTTTCCATTTCAACTGTAAAAAGGCTGAAACCTAGTTACCAATCTAGTACTATGTTTAAATTCGTAAAGACTAGTTAATAAAGAGAACAATTCGTACGAAAATATTTATAGCAAAGGCAGAGAGCTACTTTACGGCGTTGGGAAAGTGACTTTTTACCATTTAAATGATTCCCCGAAACATTTTATTAATAACCCATCGTCTTCTAATTAATAAACTCCATGTCTTGTATTAGGAATCAGAGTAATCAGATTTGAAATCATTTTAATTTTTTCAAAAGCCTCTTCTTAGCTTCATTACTTTCTTTTATGAAGCCTGGGACTTTATTCTAAGCACGTTTTATTTTCATATTTTTTACAAATTATACCTTGACATTTCGCATATTTTATATCCCATTTTGACAATGCCGCCATATTGTTGATATAAATTCACAAACATTATCTAATTTTAACGTCAACATTGACGTCTCATATAGACGCCATGCATGGCACCAAAACTAATTCAGAAATACCTCAGCTGTCAACAGTAACAACCACTTTCTCATATCAATTATTAAAATGAATACGAGCGAGAGAAGCATGTAGAGCTTAACGAGGATCTCTTCTTGGAACATAATGAACTGAGGCTACATAATCACAAACAAGGAATTTTACTTGATAAAAAAGTCACACCACTTGAGGATTTTCAACGGCAGCTAAAATGGATAACATATGCAACTCGAAGAGACAATAATCATATAATCGAGATTCTGAACCCTTTATTTAATCTACAGGATAAGATTTTCTTTTTCCACTGCTAATGCCTACGTATATCCCATCTAGTTCTTATTTTTAGTACTGATCAGTAATTGCTCTCCTGTTTCCACTGAGTCCAATTACATATTGCCCGGTCGGTCCAGGGACTGAATTACAGGCAACAGACTAATAGATTCAATCGTGGTTTTCCTTCTTTTCTTTTTTTGTCGTTTTAGTGTCATAGTAATTGTGAGTTCAATCCCTGGGCCGGGCATTGTGTACTTGGACTCAGTAGAATCAGGGCGAGCAATAACTAAGTAGTATTAAAAATAATAATCGGACAAGATACCACTAGAATTGCGCAGTGGCTCGAGAACAGTCTACCCCCGCAGATTAAATAAAGTGTTAGTTCTCTGTAGGTTACCCGGATCGATTTAGACCTGATGAAGGTCGGAGAGCGCAGTGGCCGACACGTTGTGATAACACCAACAAAGATAATAATCACAACTTCTAATCCAAGAAATATAGAGAAATTCTTACCTTCATATCTAAACTGAGAGATAGAGTTGTCTCTAGGTATGTATATGTCTGAACACTTTCCAAGGAAATAGAGTAGCGAGTGGCTTGCAACGTTTCATCTGTAGGATCTTTCCTACAGATGAGACGTTGCTTGTGAGGTGGAAAATAATTTATCACTCACAAGGACGCGGAAACGATTTGGACTCTATCGATACTAGAACGTGAAGTTTCTGCAGTACCACATTTTCGGCCTTCTCTGACTCTTGTAGAGGCAGCAGATAGCAAAAGGAGACAGCTGTTACTAGATGGGCACAGAGAACCGACTATCTATGCAACATCTTTAGCGATAAATTGCATGTAGGCGTTCACCTTGAGGTCTGCGCTGAGCTCAAGGCAAGAGGTCAATTTGCAAAAAAAACGCCTGTTAATCGCGATAGGCGAAAATTCAGGGTCCGATTGGTGATGATGGCACGTGTCTAGTTTGGTTTTGGAGGCATTGAATATAACCATCCTGT